CCCCCCCTCTCTTTAAGGAGTAAGCAAAATAACATATTACCTGTTTGACCAAAAATATAGATCTTGGTTCAACTAATTAAATTTATGCAAATAGAAGTAAATCTTGGTTAACAATAATATTCTAAAGACAAAATTCTTAGTATTATGATAGGTAGTACGTCGATCTATTCTGGAGGTTATGAAATTGCACAACAATGCTGTATTCGAGAATTTTAACAAAAGTAATATAGCAATAAATAGTGATGAACAACAATAAATGATATTTAGGTAAATAAATGCGAATGAGTCACCCGAAAAAAGATGAAATCAACGGATGTTCTTTCTGACAATGAAGAATGATGGATAAGCCTTTGAATGTCCCATATATTCTCGGATCCAGTAGAAAAGGGTACGCAAGAATTATAGTAAAAAGGTTATTTTTGTGTAATTACAATACGACCAGATTTTCTCTATAAAGTCAAAAGTGTATTTCACAAGTGAATATTTTATGTCCCCTATCATTGTGTCTCTTTCTATTTATAGGGAATATGTTCCTAGAAATCCTAATAGTACAAGTGCAGAGAATATCCACTAGAATATTCTCTTTTATGCCTTATCTTGAAACTAGGCATTATTGTTGAGATTTTAAGTATATGATATACTTAAAATAGGGTGAATGGGACATGGAGGGAAATGAAATTTTTAAGTGAAATTTTAAGTTTTCCTCTTGGCAAAGGGACATTGTCCCATATTGAAAGAGAAAGAGGTTTTTTATGGGTGTATAAGCAATTGCTCTTCTTCTAACTCTTAAAGAGTTGAGAAGAAGGCAAGTCTCGCGCATTCGTCGTCATCGTCGCTCGCTCGGCTCGGCTTCGGATGATTCAGATTCGGATTTGGTCAAACGATTGATTGATTAATTTTTTGGACCAAATTTATTTGCTGATATTAAAATATTAACAGAAATATTATTAAATATTTGTTTACTAACAAAATATTAATATTAAAATAAATATTAATATTAAATCCAATCCGTTTTTTAGTTGTGCAACTGAAAATTAAACTACCCTCTTCAATTTTTCCTCTTTATTTTCCCTCTTTATTGTTGAGTAAATAGCCATTTATGTTATGGCATTTATGCTGTGGTCGTTTTGCATAAACAGCCATTCTGAAGAGTTGCACCTCATCAGATTTCAGCCCAACTTTGGCTATAAATACAAGACTATTCTTCTCAGAATTTTCATACGAATTTTCTGAGTTCTTCTCCTGTCTTCTACATTTTTGACTTCACAGAAAGCAACAGTAAGTGTGATTTGCTACCGAACTTTGTTTTCGCTGAAATACTGGGGCTTGAAGTACTATTACACCAGTGTGTAATTCGTTCTATCCTGGGAGGAAATAATCCATAACCTTGGGTACTAGGAGGGGATTAAATTCCTTAAGGAAACACTGTGAATTCAGTGGGCTCGAATTGGTTTTTGTTATTTCGTTTACATTTCTGTTTATGTTATTTTATTTTCTCCAAAATTATTTTACAAATACAAATTTCTAACAGTTATAACTCTGTCAAGAGTATTCGACCTCGGCCTCGACCTTTGATGACTCCTCGACCTCAGTCCTTGCTGATTCTTCGACCACAACCTCCATATCGTTCCTTAAACCACTTCGACACATGGCTGCCTGGGAATGTTTCGCTAATACCACCCTGACTTAAGTATTCTTGTGATAGAATTTGACCCATACATTACCAATAACCAACTGGAAAAAAAAAAAAGAGTCACCTGATATATAGACTAGATCGATGGAGGCCTGCGAGTAACGGTAAAATTATTTTCATGTGATTGATAGGTTATGAGTTAGAGTCATGGAAGCAACCATTAATACTCCCACAGAGTATGGACCATTCTTGAAATCTGTGAAAATACAGCATACTTGGTGCACCAAACTGCCCATGCACGGACTATAGACCGACAAATGAACTGCATCTGATTTTTGTGTTACATAAATTTTGATCACTTAAATTTCGAACTTTTCACAAAATGTTAAATATAGATCAAAACAGGAAGTGGTATCACGTATTGTATTTCTAAAGTAGTAGTAGTAGCAATAGCTAACAAATTGCAGACTGAGCATCACACTCTAAAGTCTAAATATAATTGATAATCAATTAAACAAAAATAAAGTAAAGTGAGTGTTCAACCGTAACATACAAAAGAACGTAATTTAACTACTTAATGTTGGCTCCCAGAGCTAGCAAATTAATTAAATTTTGGGTATACACTAGTTGGTGGTAAGATTTTTGTAGTGGACAACATATGGTAGGCGATGATGAGAAGAAACCGTAAAAATAGCACGGTCTAGGCAGTTTTCGGATAGTCAATGAAAAATAGCCATTATTTTGCTGCAACAGAGACCGGTCCAACATATTATACTGGAGTTCGGTGCACCTGTATATGAACTTCCAGCATATTATGCTGGAACTCCAACACACGGAAAGTTCCAGCATAATATACTGGAGATTCCGGCACTTGTGTATGAACTTCCAGCATATTATACTGGACCGCTATACTTTGCTGGAACTCCAGTATATTATGCTGGAGTTCTAGTGTACTTATGCTGGAACTCCAGCACAAAATGATTCAGTTCCAGCATACTTATCCTGGAACTCCAGTATAATATGCTGGAGTTCAAGTATACTTATGCTGGAACTCCAGCATAATATACTGGCGTATTTTCCGAGTTTTGAATAGTGTCTTCGCTCAGATTTATCTTCACATAAAAAGTGGCTAGATTTCGATTACTTTTGAAACTGGGCTATTTTTGAACGAACACTTGTAAATCTGGCTATTTTTGAATTTCTCCCGAAGAAACCCCCCATTCTTAAAAGGCCCCATTTGTCCATTAGATTTTTTTTTCCTTTTTCAGATTATTTTTTTTCAAAATCGTGTTTCTTTCATGAAAATCTTTAAGTTTCATAGAGTTACTCCTAATTCCTTAACAGACCAGTCATCGAGGTTAGTTCTACCACAGTTGAAGCCTTGCTTCTAAACTCTGCTTCAGCTAAACTTCTAGCAACAGTGTCTTGCTTCTTAGATTTTCAGGACACTAGAGCATTGCCAAACTTCACTAGATAGCCAGTAACAAATATCCTCCCCAGTCTGAGTCACAGAAATCTTGTAGTTTGTCTAATCCTTGAGCTGACATTAGCAGGCCAAGTCCAGGTGCAACTTTAATATACCTTACTACCCTTAGAGCAGCTTCCATGTGACTGTTTGGGCTTGTGCATAAATTTACTAAACACTTGCACTACAAAGGCAATATCAACCCTAGTCATTGTCAAATACAATAGTCTGCCAACAAGCCTTTGGTATGAGCCTGCATCATTGAGTAACTTGTTCTCAATACCTTCATTATTTTTGACAAATGAATCATACTCAGTAGATGTCAACTTCACATTAGTTTCCAGTGGTGCACCAGCAGGCTTAGCACCTCAAAGTCCCATTTTTGCAATTAGTTCTAGAGCATACTTTCTTTGGCTCATGACAATCCCTTTGTCTGATCTGGCAAATTAAGGAAGAACTTAAGCTCTCCCAAGTCCTTCATTTTGAACTTCAGCTTCAGTTCATTCCTTGTCTTCAGAGTCAACTTATTACAGCTTCCAGTTACAAGAAGATCCTACATAGACTAACACCACAACCAACTTATTATGCATGTGCTTTTGTGAACAGGGAATAGTCAAAATGACTTTGAGTAAATCCTAGTTGTAGTAGTGCATCAGTCAGCTTCTTATTTCATTGTCTTGGAGCCTGCTTAAGTCCGTATAGAGACTTATGTAGTTTGCAGACTCTATGATACCCTCCTTGGCTAGCAAACCCCTGAGGATATCCATATAGACCTCTTCTAGAAGATCTCCTTGTAGAAATGCATTGTGTGCATCCATTTGAAATATAGGCCAGTGTTTAGCAACAACAACCACAAACCTAACAGTCACCATTTTTGCCACAGGTGAAAATGTTTCAGTGTAATCTAGGCCTTCTTGTTGACTGTACCCCTTAGCCATAAGTCTGTCTTTGTATCTGTCACACCCCTTTTCTACCCCGAAAAGAATATTGTGGATTTGGGGGTTAAAGAGTTTTTCCAATTAAAGTGACAAAACTTGAGTAGGGATTATTTTATTGCTCAGAGTCGCCACTTGGAATTGATTTTTTGGGTGTTCCAAGTCACCTTTTGTTTGAATCCCTAGTCGAAGGAAGGTTTGACTCTATTATTATTGGTCTGCGAAAACAAAGTCCGGGTAAGGAATTCTGTTGACCGGGAAGAAGGTTAAGGCATTCCCCAAGTCCCGTGGTTCTAGCACGGTCGCTTTTATTGACTAGAATTGGCTTGAATTAATTTTTAGATAAAACGGTGCTTTATTTGATTTTATGTTTGCCTATGACAACTTTTATTGTTGATGACTTTATTAACTTTAAACTAGGACGAGTATCCCCGATCTTAGTTCGTGCGTCGCACCTAAAACTGAAGCCTGCTCGAAAGCAATTAAATAAAAAATTATTTATTTGAAAGAATTGGAACAAGGCGTGTCCTCACGACCTTGACATTTTATTTATGTCTTTATTCCGAAGCGAGTCTTCCCGACATCGGTTAAGACAAAATTATTTACCTTGGGTAAGACGACCTACTATAGGGGTTAGATTATAAAATAAAAATAAAAAATTGTTCATTTTTGTCGCAAAAGAAAGTGCATATTTGTAGCTTAGTGGTGGTAAGAAAATGTATAAAACTTAGTTAAATATTGAACTTACTTATAACCTTATTCTTATTGTTGTTGTTATCAATTAAAATGACGAAACTAATATAAAGCTACAGTTGTTCTTAAAATTTGTCTAGCGCTTTTATTAATTACTAGAAATGATTAGGTAATTAAATTGATGAAAAAAAAATCTAATTTTTTACGGAAAACAAGGCAAATTAATGTAAAACCAACTCTATCTATTTTAAAGAAATGGCCAACTTCTTGCCAATGATGAAATGAGCCAGCAACTAGTTAGAACTAATGAACTCTTGATTTAGTATATATATATATATAAATAAATAAAAAATTTCCACAAGTTAAACTAACTCATGATTTCAACTTATTTTACTATCACAGTCATTCTTAGTTTTAAAGCCTGCTAAACTAACATCAAACTTGTATGGAGCATAAATTAAAAATAAAATAATTTTATATTTTTCTTTAACTTAATGACATCTACACTGCTCTATATAGCTCAAAAAGGGTCAAAATGAATTATGCCAAAATAAGTCTACAAGTTGTCGCAAATCATTCATTACATGAGACAAGCCCCTTACTTGTTCACATAAGGAACTTAACAGAAAGTTGTAAGATATCAGAAATCAACCACACCCACCTTCCAGAAGCATTCAAACATAACAAGGGCTAAAGTACATGGTTTTGTGGATAGAAAAACTAAACGAAACTCATATTGCGACTTATTGAAACATTCATTCTCTTGTTCTTTTAGAGTATGTACCAGATCCAATCAGTTTAAACTAACAACGAGGAACATAGGTGGGTCAAAACAAAATAAACTAGACTATTTAAATACAACTATGAAACTGGTTATGAATGTGCAGGTTTTGGCATTCAAACATTCAGCAAATCCTTTGAGAAAATTGCTTGAAGCTATCTAAACATGCCCAACTTTTCATCATTTGCTATTAAAGAAAAGGAACCTGCATTACAAAAGTTTAGAACGTTACCTGAACAGCACAAAGTAAAAAAATGTTTAGCAATGACTGAAGCAACAGACCAGCAACAACAAACAGCAACAACCAGCAGCTCTTAGACCAAAGAAAATGAACCAGAGATGACCAACCAAGTAATGAAACCAGAAATGAGTCCCTCTGGAAAATCCACACAAGATCCCTCTACTTTCTTAAAGGTTTTGCACTTGAGAAATCACTCACTCTAGCTCAGAATTTTCAGCTTACTATTTAGGTGTTCAGTTGCTCTTTTTACTCTCAAAGTTGTATTCTTTTGCATAAGTGAGTAAGAAGTGTGTTTTTAGAGTCCAAGATCTTCTTTTTATAGGGGGAGGAAAGGCCTTGGAACAGATTTTTGTTTGGCTAAAAATCTGTCCAAAATGATAGATTTTTGACCAAAAATCTGTCCAAAACCAGAATTTTGGTCAATGAATAGTTTTTCTTACCAATTGTGGACAGAATTTTGGAGTATTGTACTCCAAGACAGTCCGCAACAGTAAAAGCAACCAAACAAAGGACCTTACACTCAAGTATTCTCTCTTCTTTCCCTTTCCTCTTAATTTTTCAAACCAGATTCTATGTTTAAACCAAACACATGACTCATATTACTCAAATCTTACTAAAATACACTCACAACTGTTGAAGTGATAATATACTAAGTATTTCAACACAGACTATCATCAAGCATTCAACCTATAGATTATCACTTCATTAGAACAAATGAACTCATGTCTTGAAAAGATCAATGACTCAACTAAACAAATTAACCATACTTCAGAATGAATCAAGACCATTGATGCCTTTGAATGATGATCAATTAACACAAATAAACAAATTAACTGAACTTTATATAACCTATATCAATCAGTTAACAGAAGAACTTACAAACAGAACTAGAAGCTAATCAATCTGACTGTCAAACGATGGTCCTGAACCAACATGAAACAACCAAACTACCAACTAATAATCCCAAACCAATACACGATTTGAATCTAGCAAATATTAAACATGAATAGATAAAACAAGGTAAACTAACAAAATTTATCATGCTTCCCAGGATACGCCAATCAAAATGGATAACACGATTAATACAAACAATACTAAACGAGTGCATATTAATCAAAAGACTTAAACTTTGAAACAAAATGCATAATTCAAACTAATATACATGAGTCGAAACCAACACTTAAAACTACCTATAAATGATATAAACAAATTGAATCAAAACTGAAACTAATTGAAAAATACTACCCAATTACGTCAGATTAAATAAGATGGAAACTTAAATATGATCCTAGTCTTAATAAACAGAACCGAAAATCAGAAACGAGGGAAAGGGATAAAGGTTTTACCTCACGAGGAGATCGAGGCTAACCCAAGAAACGAGGAAACACCGAGGTGGTGGCTGTCCGACCTTGAAACGAGCGTTTCTTTCTACCACACGTTGAATCCAATGAGCTTCAACGTCGTGCTCGAGAGAAAGGAACATATTTGGGTCGGAATAAGCTAAAACAAAAGGGGGCAGTGCGGTGAGGCCGTTGACGGCAGTGGGGGTGCTTGTCCGGCGGCGGTGGGGTTTTTTTTGGGGGGTAAAACTAGAGGAAAAATGTAGATTTCATGGAGATCTACACGTTTATATGAAGTTTGTGTGGTGGGGTTGTCGGATTTGCCGTGAAATCGAAGAGGGAAGTAAGAGGCAGCTATCTAGGGTTTTGATTTCACGGAATTTAGAGGGGTTTTGGAGGATTTGGGGCTTGGATTAGGAGAAAGGGTAAAGAGAGGAAGAGATTGGTATAGGTTTTACGGGCTTTGGACGTTGGCCGCTGCCGGTGGCGAATTCCGACGGGCGGCGCTGGGGGCATGGGTCAGAGAGTGAGAGAGGGTGAGAAGAGAGAGGAAGAAGAGGGGATTAAGGGGAAATGGGGCCAAATTTTTGGGGAATTATAGGTTTAAATACCTGGGTAGGAGATGGATAAGGGCCGTAGGATCAAGGCAATTGAACGGATGAGATTAGACCTTAGACTTACTTATCAAAACGACGTAGTTTAGGTATGAAACTACGCCGTTTTGTGCTCTAATGGCAGCCCTATTTGGACCGGATCTAGGCTCTTTGGGCTTCTAATTTTGGGCCAATTTTTGCTCAATTTTAATTAAAATACACTAGTCCAATCCCTACCCCATTAATCAACTCTTAAAACTTATACATACAAAAATAAGAAAAACACACACTCACACACACACACACACACACACACACACACACACACACACACACACACACACACACACATATATATATATATATATATATATATATATATATATATATATATATATATATATATATATATGTATATAGGGCAAAAATTAGGCATTTACAGTATCTCTCTACTGCTCCTGAGGCTGTGTACTTGACATTGAACACCCAATTACAGCCAATTGGAACCTTGCCAGCAGGTAGATCAACAATACTCCATGTCTTATTTTCCTCTAAGGCTGCAATCTCAGATTTCATAGCTGCAATTCAGTTGGGATTTTTGGCTACTTCAAGATAGGTTTTAGGTTCCTCAATAGAAGATTAAGCATCTAGGGCAGTACGGAATGAAGCAGAGATATGGTCATAGCTCACATAGTTGGACATGGGATAACAATAATTGGCATTCCTTTTGCCTTGAGTAACATAGTCTTTTAGCCAAATAGGTGGCAAGCTGACTCTGACTGACTTTCTTCCTGTGTCTGGTACAGGCTGTGTGGGAGCATTGTGCACAATTCCATTGGGAATTTCATCCATAGAAGCAACTGGTGAACTTCCATCAGAAGGAACATGCATATCTGAGGGTGCAATAATCTCTTCATTGGTTTCTATGGTACGAGATGTAACTGGATTAGGGATATATGGCATGTACTCTGGACTAGGAAGAGTAGAAATGACTAGTACAAGAAACAAGGATGTAACTCGAGTATCCAGGTATTGAAAAAGAAAAACATCTTCCTTGAATACCACTTCTCTGCTGACTAAGAAGCTTCTGGAGTGAATAGTATACATCTTATACCCCTTCTGTGTTATAGAGTAGCCAAGAAACACAGCATGGACTGCCCTAGGAGAGAATTTATCTACCTTCCTCAGATTAGTAACATAGCCTAGGCACCCAAACACCCTTAGATGATCTAAGCTGGGAGGTTTACCATGCAACATTTCAAAAGGAGTCTTAAATTTGTCTTGGAGAGCTGATGTACATAGCCTGTTGATAAGATATACTGCTGTGAGCACACACTCACCCCAAAATCTGAGTG